TGGTCACGCAACGTCCAGGATGCCATTCTGACCGTCCTCCTTACCGCCTGGATTGGCGGCATGGCCACGCCCACATCCCCCGGCGAGCTGGGTCGTCTTCTGACGCTGGAGCAGGTCGGAGAGATCTTCCAAGGTTCGTTTTGCCTTCAAACGTCCCCCACCTCCAACTATGGCAACTAACCCAACCTCCAGTCCCCGTCAACCTCAAGGACCGCGACGCCTTCCACATCACGACGGAGGAGTACCTGCTCGCCGTTACTAACCTTACCGACGAGCTGAGCCGCCTCGCCGTCAACGCCGTGACCCTGGGCGACCGCGAGCTGGCCGTGCGCATCAGCGCCTTCGTCAAGGACATTCACGCCGGCTTCCAGCTGCTGAACCTGAAGAACGACCTGCTCCGCAAGCGCGTCGATGCCGTCAAGTACCACGTCAAGAAGGTCGAGGACGTGGTGTACGACCTGACGCTGCGGAACTTGATCCCGGGTAAGGAGTAAGGGACCAGTCTGCTTGAAGCGGTGGTGGGGTTGATGAGTCTCCGGTGGATGGGGAAAGCCCTCATGGCTATAGAGAAGCCCTGATAGGGCGCCTTCAATGGGAGATATATGGGCAAATGAATCATCTTGATCTCTCCATACCTTACTCTGATGTCCCTCGAGCGTGTGTCAATGGTCGTCTGGATATAAGGGTTAGGGTTCGTGTGAACCTGGCCTCCAGTGGGGCCGTGCTCTCCGAGGTACCTCCACGACTGTAACTTCCACCATCCGGATTTTGAACCCCATCACCTTCAAATGCCCAACACTCCGCCAATATGCCTCTAATCGACCCAGTAACGATGTCCTCCTCAATAGCAAAAGCCAGCAGAGCTCAATCAGGCACCTCCACACCAAAAGAAAGCTCCAGTGCCTCCCAATCCGAACCGCATCTCCTGCCAACGCACATTCTCCCCACGCCAGCAGCCCAGACGGCCCGTCATGCCCTCCCCGCGCTGCAGGCCGCTGTGTTCATATACAGCTTCAGAAGTCTTGTAGCCAACCCCGTGGCGACGATGTGGAGCACCCTCCCCGTCGTAGCGATACTACAAGCTGTTTACGCCTTCGTCTGTCTACCGGTAGCCGGCTCGTCTAAGTCAAGCAGGAAACACAGGCCGGGGGAGAAGAAGAAAGACTCCGGCGGTTCGAACGTCATTGTCGTAAGCTACCCTACCCTCCTCTTGCCCCCCTTTCCTATCAAACCCAGCTAACCTTCCCTGACAGGCAATCCTCCTCTCCCTCCTCCTCTCCCTGAGCATAACCCCCTTCCTCCACCTCGCCATGGTCCTCTTCGGCGCCCCCGCGCTCACGCACCTCCAGCACACCCTCCTCTGCGCCGCGCACCTGTCCGTGCTCGCGCTCTTCCCCCTCTTCTACGTCCACGGCGTCGAGCCGGCCGCGTGGCTCGCCGTGGCGGGGTTCCGCGCGCCCTTCGACGAGGCGTTCGGCGGGCTTGTCGGAGGCGTGGCGGGCGCGTGGCTGGGCGCCGTGCCGATCCCGCTGGATTGGGATAGGGAGTGGCAGAAGTGGCCTGTTACGATACTGACTGGGGTGTATGTTGGGTATTTTGTGGGCAAGGCGGTTGGGGGGCTGGTTGTGTTCGGGAGGAGATTATGAGCGTGGGAGGGACATGGGGCATGAACGGGGCTTTTTGTACAGGAAGGTGCTGTGGCGTCTCGTTGGGAGTTGCAGTCACTCGTGGAATTGAACAGAACGGCTGGACCCTTCAGGAAAGGGGTGCGCTCACCCATGATGGTTGAGCTGGTTGCAGTCGAGTCCGGAAAAGGAGCGGCATTCGGCAACAAGCATGGTGAGGAGGGAAATACCCTCAGGAGGTCAAGTTGCGCCCCATCGTCGCTCAGGCTCAGGCTCGGGCATCATGAAGTGGAAGTGATTACGGGTCGGCCGAGGAAGAGGTTCCTCCCGGTGATGCAATGGCTTGTAGGCGGCAGAGAGGAGTGTACCAGATGTACTGTATCACAGATACCCGGACGCGACAGTATTGTACACTATGGCATGCAAAAATGTACATGTTCTCAGGGGCCTCACCATCAACTTTGGTAGAGCTAAACACCGCTATCGCCGAATACGGACAGCTTCCATGTTCCCAGTTGGTGGGGCAGCTTATCGATCTTCGAGCTACCAAAAAGTCCCTGGATCGACCTCGTCACAACAAGCTGAAGCTGCCCTCCAAGTGCTGATTCCCACCTTTACAGCGCGAACCATAACAGTTCTCGCAATGTCGCCGACCAGCCCTTGAGTCTCACACCTACCTTACTCTCTCCTCCCTCGACTACATCCTCACCGCCCCCACAATGGCTTCAGACGAGACGCTGCCGACCTCACCGGCCTCGGCATCGGCCCCAGCTCCGGCGTTGAAGAAGAAGGACAACAAGAACTACAAGGGCTTCGTCGCCGGCGTCTTTTCCGGCATAGCCAAGCTATCTGGTAACCTCCCCTTCTTCCTCTCCCCTTGATCAAGCCCTAACCAAACCTCTCCAGTCGGCCACCCCTTCGACACGATCAAAGTCCGCCTCCAAACCTCCTCCCTATCCCGCTTCTCCGGCCCCTTACAATGCCTCACCTCCACCGTCCGCAACGAAGGCCTGCGCGGGCTCTACAAGGGCGCCACACCTCCCCTCGTGGGGTGGATGTTCATGGACTCCGTCATGCTGGGGTCGCTAACCGTCTACCGCCGTCTGCTGCGCGACAACCTGTTCAACCCGCCGGGCCACCCCTTGCACGACCCCATGCGACCATTACCCTCCCACGGCCACGGCCTGGCCGGTATACTAGCGGGAAGCACGGTCTCCATGATCGCCGCCCCCGTGGAGCACGTCAAGGCCAGACTACAGATCCAGTACGCCGCCAACAAGGCGGACAGGCTGTACAAAGGGCCAGTGGACTGCGTGAGGAAAATATATGCCGCGCACGGGGTAAGCGGCATCTACCGCGGCCTGGGCGCGACGCTGCTGTTCAGGAGTTTTTTCTTCTTCTGGTGGGGCAGTTACGACGTCTTCACGAGGTGGATGAAGAACAACACGGCCATGTCGGCTCCGGCGATCAATTTCTGGGCCGGCGGGTTGAGCGCGCAGGTTTTTTGGTTGACGAGTTACCCGAGCGACGTGGTGAAGCAGAGGATCATGACGGATCCGCTGGGGGGCAAGTTGGGGGATGGGGAGAGGAGGTTCCCCCGGTGGAAGGATGCTGCGAGGGCGGTGTACAGGGAGCAGGGGTTGAGGGGGTACTGGAGGGGGTTCTTGCCGTGCTTTTTGAGGGCGTTTCCGGCGAATGCGATGGCGTTGTTGGCTTTTGAGGGGGTTATGAGGGCGTTGCCTGAGTAGGCTTGCTGTGCTGGGATGGGTATGGACATGTTGCCTGAAGAGGGCAATGGCAGGGTTGATGAGGTGTACGGATATTAGTGACATTTTAAGCATGGTCATTTGGGACTACAAAGCGAGGAACGCTCTTACACGGGATATATGGTTGGGATACAGGACAGAGTCACATGTACGATATCAGTCAGGTCACATAGATACCCATAGATGGCAGCGAGAGACAGAGTGTTGTTTGGTTTCACCGTCAGCGAAGACGGCGTTGGGAGATATAAATCTCCTCTCTTGATTCTTGGTATCAACCCTGGACGCTATGCGCTATGCAACGCCAGTCTATCCTTTTTGATGTTCCGTCCTCCCAGTAATAAAACCTTCCAGACTCCATCCGCAATTTGCCCGGTGTTGCTGATCCCCTTACTCGTCGTCCTCCTCGGCCTCGTCGTTGACGACGTTGAAGAACTTGAGCTCGTACACTCCCTTAGAGGTGGAGACGACACGGAGCCAGTCACGGAGCTGCTGCTTCTTGAGGAACTTCTTGGTGCTGTTCCCTGGGGGTTAGCACCATGATCAGAGAGGGGTGTTGTGAAGGTGTACGGCAACTCACAGGTACTTGAGGTAGCGGCCGGAGAGCTCGTTGTGGGCAACGATCTCGACCTTGCCGTCGCCGGAGGAAGAGATCTTGATGGTCTCGCCGAGGTTGCCGACGCGGCCGTCGACCTTGATCTTCTCGTTCAGGAACTTCTCGAAGGCCGAGACGTCGAAGATCTTGTCGCTGGCGGGCTGCGAGGCGTTGATAACGAACTGCGGGCGGCAGAGTCAGCAATTGATATCTCAGACGACGCGGGGAGAGAGACAGAGAGAGAGAGGGAAACTCACCTTCTTGGTCACCTTGGGGCCCTTGGCCTTGGCGGCAGACTTCTTCTGTAGACACACATGAACCTTTAGCCTACTGTTTTACGCCATGATCGCTCAGGCAACTTGTGCTGAGGGACTGGGCCAACAGCAAAGCGGTGGGTGTCATCTTATACATACTGCGATGGGAGCCATTTGGTCGGTTTGGTGGGCTGGATGAGACGCAAAGAGGTTGATATCCTACGTCTGGGCTGTGATGGGCTTGAGGTCGAAAGAGTTGGAGGTTGGAGGGGGACCGCTGGCGCAAAGTTATCGGCTTGTGGGTTGTCGAAAATTGTTCCATTTAGGGTTCAAGTGGGGCGCCGACTTTGAGTGCGATAAACGACAACGATAAGCGGTTAGCCGATAAGAATCGGTGTAAGTCTCAACCATGTGCTGTTGCCGCTGTTGCGGACATATTACAAGTCCATCATGATCGTTCGTCGGGCGGGCTTGCGCACTTGTAAACTGTGTACGGCCAGAATGGGATGCTGCTTGCTGCAGTCATAGCCGTGTTCTTGACACTGAAGAACCGCATGGCACAAAGGTCGGAAAGTCCACAGTCCAATCCGTACGAGAGAGAGCTCAAAACTTTGAACAGGAAAGCTATTGCAGTAAAAATGGAAGGCACCGCCTGGGTCGCTCCTGCCACGATTTCCTTCCAGCCCAAGTGCTGCCCCTGAGCAGTATGATCTCGCGATAGCTTCACATTGCGCCGTCGACGACAGCAAAAAGCAACAAAAAGCTTCCCCACACAGGCTTGAACTGTGGACCTCCTGATATGCTTTGCCTGTTGAACAGGCCTAACAGTCAGACGCTCTAGCCAACTGAGCTATGGAGAATGAGCCGGATCAGCCGGGAACGGTGTTCCTTGGCTAGTGATGCTTTAGCGCCCGGTTTTGGGGCTTATATGCGGAGGATGAGATGGATGCAACCCCGCGGTCCACAATTTGGAACACTCGAGTGAGGAGAAAAGGGGTCACTGCGAAATACACAGATATACCAGCACATCACTTCAAGACAACAGGTATCAAGTGATACTCGTATGTTGGTTGTGCTAGGGCTATCTGAGAAATCACGGTCTCTGTGTTGAAGGGAGCCTGAAACCTCGATGTCCGTCCATCTGAGTGTGTGTGTTGTTGCATGGCGCATAACAGCACATGCCCTCGAACCAAAAGGGAGATGCGTCTCGGCCGATGAGAGCGCAGTCGGGCAACGTTGAATGCTGTGGTGGCTGAGTCGCTCCCACTCAGGTGTTGATTCTTGACTTCGGGGGGATAAAATCGTCCAGCAAGCGCGTACACTAGGGGACGCAGTGCGATGGCAGAGATTAACCAGAGACAGTCTCCTACCGGAAAAAAGATATCAAGCCAGAGAACTTCCCCGTTAACTCCAAAAAAGGGACCACCTACGGCACAGTAAAGCTTACCTAAGGTAGTTTTGAGTCAGTGATTCCATCGAAGCGCTGGACATCACAGGTCACAATGGATACGCATTCAACTGCCACATATCCAAGAGCAACATCGGAGGCTTCACGCCAGCATATCGGTCCCCCCAAAGCAATCGGACAAATACTCCACCGGCCATGGTACGACGTCGTCTTTGCCCTGCGGTTATCTCAAGTTGTACACGTGGCTAATGGGCGGAGGTCTGTTGGTCGATACTTCCACAGACCTTCGAGCAGCAATGTCGAGGAAGCAGTATGGACGACATTTCCTAGTCGAGGCCTTCTTCGAGGTTCATTAGGCTGACTCCGGAGGAGACATACGTCCTCGGTTCACCCCAGTTGTCTCAAGGATATGACACCAGTCCCCTTGGTTGCGGATTTCGTTGGACCATACTGGGCAACCTCGAGCATGCAGTGGATCAGCATGCTTCGGCAATCAGAAAGCGCAGAGCACGTCGTCCGCGATCTTCTGGATCTGACAAAGCTGCTCGTGGTCCAGTGGTCCAGTGGTCCAGTGTCTGTTGGAAGAGGCCAAACGAGCTGGGTATTCGCGAGGGAACTTGGGTGATCAAGACAACACCGCAGTTCAACACGTGCTATACGATGGCGAAGACGTTGTCAGGCGCCAATGTCAGTGCCAACATGGTCCGCCTACGGCCGTGCATAAAGAAGAGCAAAAATTATAAGGCGCGGCCTACAGTTCTTTTATACCGCTCGTAGCTACAACGCCCCCCCCCCCCCTTACAGGTATTTAAATTGCAATTCCAATACTCGAATGGGTTGGGTTGATAGCCCCGTGCGGGGATCGAACGCAGCACTATCGGGGTAGAAGATTGTGTCTGGACGGCACAGAGTCATTAATCGCTTAGACCACTGCACCATCGGCGGTTATTGACATGGCGTAGTAACTTTCTTCTTATGGGTTTGTTGCGGTGGTTCGTGATACACACGGTGATTCACTTGAGTAGGCATTCACTTCCAGCCTTACAGCATCCACTTGCACCATTTGCCCTTTGGTCATGGCCAGGGCTGTATGACATATCACCAGGTCGAGGGAAGGATTGGAGAGACGCACTCCGAATTTGAGTGCTTAAGCCGAGGTCTCGAGACCTGTGCCCCTACAGGGCGATATCGCAGTCTTACAGGAAGAGCTCATCGACTACCGTAGCGAGACTGCCAAATACCATCCTGCTCAGCTTGCTGCGAACAACTACTACACCGATTCGTTCCAATCGAAGGTCTTCCGCTAACCTCGCACCCTCGCACCTCTACACCGGGATTGGGCTACACATCCGAGACGCGTCTCACGACATCGCACAGCGGCTAGAAGTTCGGGCTCAGATAGCGGCAGCATCATACTCGGGATCAACAAACCAGAATCCATCAGCATCCATACAGAAGGTGACGCCGAGCAGACCCCGATCTCAAGACGATGGTCCGAAAGTTCAGCAAGCACACAACTTCTCGAACGAGGATGAGACGGTTACGAGCAGCTAGCTTGTCAGTGCCGGCTTGACCAGGAACCTAGAAAGCAGCCCGGCTTTTGCCTGTCCATACTATAACCACGATCGCTAAAAGCACGGGAGCAAACAACCGAGATGGTGCGTCGGTCCCGGCTGGACAATCCACAGAGTGAAGGAAGTTCTTCCCTGAGAGATCACCACCCCTTCCGCACGGACGAGCCACCACCAACATCGCGTCATCCTCCGTCGTCTGGAGTACACCTCTTCCGCTAGCATTGCTCTGGTACCTTCGGGTGCAAACGGTATTCGACAATCTCGACGCGTTGAACAACATTGTCAACTGACTGCCGTTGTCTAATGGTCTCATTTGAGGAGACCATCAGCCATGCGTCGGCAAGCATAGATGGAGAGCTTCTTCCTCCGCTGCAGCCATCGTCGACTTCGACGACACAGTCCTCGCTCACTTGTTCTACGGCATGGCCAACTCAGCCCCCGGCCGACTCGACTGGAAGTGGATGTCCGACTATAAACAAGAGATGGATGACTGTGCCTCACAGTTCTCCTTGGATGGCATGGGCATCGATGGCACTGTCAGATTCTCTTAGCGGACGGTATGTTCAACTTCGATGAATGGTTTTAGGGCTAGATACTCAACACACACTTGGGACGAAGCAGAACATGGTCATCAGTGACACTTTTGCTGGTAAACGGAAGTGCAACACTGTCACTTTCTTTTGCGCCTGGCCCTATCCTGGATGTACTATTTATACGCTCCGAACGGGGTAGGGTTTCTGCGAGCTCTATCAGGAGGCCGACGAGAGCGGTGATGTTCACCTCAGAAGCGCACCTTAACGAAGTTCACCAACTGGGCTGGTAGGGGACAGTAGTCGCAACAGCCCAGGCCATACATAGTCGAGGCAACCGGATACGCGACTCTGGTGATGTACGTGTAAAAGCCACCACTTCTGAAGTTCTGGGTATCAGAAGCCACTGCGGTTCGTCACACTTGCGTCGTCACTGGGACAGCTGAAGCATACCATGGCAAACCGTTGACATCACGTCCGGCACCGGGGAAACAGCCAAGGAAACCCGATTATTCAAGAATTCCATGATGAAATACAACAATGAACGAGTGATGCAGCGGAGATCACGGCACACATCTCACGGCTTCCTGCGGCCGGCAGATTCTTGGCAAACTTGGCAGCCAAGATCCTCAGCCACCATTGTTCCTACGACTGTGGCTCGGCGCCACAGTGACGCCACAGTGATCGTCGTGCCGGCCCTACCGGCAGTGATGTCTTAGCGTGAAATGACGTATTTGTAGTGATCGAATAACTTTTCCCAGTCTCAGAAAGCAGTTCCAAGGCGCAAAGCATCAAAAACACAAGCGCCTTGGAAGTTGGCATGGAGCCATGGCGCCCTCCCTGGGCCACGAGATGCGCAAACGTGAGGCTGGTAGGGCTGGGCACCTTCTTGAGCTTCCGAGGTATCTTTGTAGTGCACCGGACTTTCCGCTGACAGTTGACATTGGCATCAGTATTCACTTGCTTACACCTTCCCCTGTGCTGACACATGTAGCAGTGATGATGTGATGTCCGAGCTCACAGCAGGACAGAAATAGCAAGAGAAGGGGAATTGGTCGTTTTCAGCTACATCTGCTGCCGTAAGAGCAGGAGGCATGGGACATCGTACGAGTAGGCGAATAGACGACGGAAACACACGTGTAGACGACTAATCTAGGCGAATTAAGTGGAAGCTGCAAGTTGCCAGCGTGATTCCTGCCACAAATCCAAAGAAGGTTAGATGTGTATGACGCACATGCCGATTATTCAAAGTTCCAAGCTCGAACCAAGACCACGCAACACAAGGCAGGATCTTGCTTAACGTTGGTCACTGCATCGAAAGACCTTAAATTCCTCTCCCCGCCCGCTTCTCTCGAACCAGTTCTACTTCTACCTCTCACAATCGAACAGACTTCCCAGTTTACTCAACCACCGCAACAATCAACAAAGGCTCCCTCTGATCTTCGACCAGACCGACTTTCCACTATCCACATCAGTACCAGCCACGCATTCTTGCACACTTACACTCTACACCAGGTAGACCAGAAACTCATCCACAATGGCGTTCACCGCAAGGTAAGCAAATCCTGCCCTTTCCTTGAAGGCTCTTTGCGGCGACCGGATGCGTAGACCTCGCTTCGTCGTTTTGTCGTTCCGTCGCTTCGTGCTCGGAACTGTCGGTGCTCTGCTCCCAATCGTGGCAGTGCTGACTCAGGTTTTCTCCCCCGCAGTGACATCTGCAAGATCATCCTTGCCGTCATCCTCCCGCCTCTCGGAGTCTTCCTCGAGCGCGGCTGCGGAGCCGACCTCTTTATCAACATCCTGCTCACCATCCTTGGGTAAGTTGCCCGGACAAGACGCCACCACTATGTGGGCGCAGTACACTAACGCACTATGCAGTTACATCCCCGGCATCATCCATGCCCTCTATATCATTCTGAAGTATTAGGAGATTCCCGAGAATCAGGCACCATGCAGGGCCGTTGAGGGCATGCTCCTGACCGTGAGGGTCAAGGTGCCGGAGAAGAGTCGGCTCTTCTAGGAGAAGGTGTCTTTTGCGAAATGGCGCGCGGATAGGCGCGAGGCGAAGCGTGCGAGGCAGCAGGCCTGGATCCAACTTGAGAACTTCGCACAACAACTCAGCCAAAACAACGGAGACCACGCACTCTTACAAGCAATACAACAGTTCAACCAAAACAACGGATACATTAACAACAACCAAAACAACGGAAACCTTAACAACAACCAACCCAGCGGCAACGGGAATAACAACCAACCCAGCGGCAACGGGAATAACAACCAAGCAGTCTCCATCTACGAGGCGCCGGCAGCCGTCGCCGGCGAGGCACCGGCCACATCAGTCAACAGCA